TCTGGAACTTCCTTGATGTCTTATCGAAGGTTCACGATGAGCGAGTTAATTTCGAGTTGATGTACGTATAATTCACTTGCTAGGAATCTAGCTACATCTGTAGTCTCGCTGATGGCCAGGTGGTTATGGCGCTCGACTCGCAATCTGCATGTCGCAGGTTCGAATCCCCATCCTACCAAACATACTAGACCTTTCAGCCATGGGGGAGTTATAATGTTATGGTCAATCTCACTGTTCGTTGGTAACCCAAGAGTTGGCGGTGGGTGGTATTGACTAGCTGCTTTCCCTCTCTCTAGTCTTACACTCCTAAATTAGAGATGGCTAGCTCAGAGAGCCCTCGGGTAGCTCTGCGCGAATTTCAAAAGAACCAGTCTTTCTTGTATGTTAAAGGTTGAGATACTGAGAGCAATGATATAAAAATAGCTTCCTTTAATATTCACAACTTACAGAATGCTAGCATAGTTTAAATGGATTTACTCTTCTTAAGGAATAAAAATAGTATTGTTATGTTAGTAGAAGCTCGTGACGCTGCTGGCGCATTTGGTGCTGGTAGCATGTGTGAAATTTCTCGAATGATCATGAATGATCGGGGAGGCCCAAGTGTATTCGAGATGCCCCCTTCGTTAGTATATAAGCCTGGCAGAAAAAGCCTGCGGGGATGAATGTAGAGAGTTCCAGGAAATTTACGATTCTGTTTCAAGCTAGTGTGTGTTTTGCACTCCTACAAAGCGAAATTATCGAGATTGCGAATCGTTGTGATGTATAACGTGTATTATAAAAGTAGTTAAATTTAAAGTGACGAAAAACGTACTGATTTTAAAATTACTGTATACAAAAAGTCCGTATCGAGAAAGAATAAACTGGGTTTAATCAAGAAAGTTCTTCTATTGCTGAAATTCCTCGGAAAGAATTTCTACCAGAAATTAACAAACAAGCAGATACGCAACACTATTGACAAGACATTACTGAATATCTTGTCAGGTTCATTTTATAGTCAATTTAACTTTTCATGTATCAAAACTAGAAACTTCAGCAAATATAAATTTCTATGACTAAAGTCGTTATTTTGTTCTTTTAATATAATAATTGTTTTCATTCCTTTTTATTTTTTATTTCCTATGTTAATTTCAAGACTTCTGTGTTTAAATAAAAAAAATAATATTTACATGCCCCAAACTAAAAAATGCATTTTATTTTAATATTTAAAAGAGAAGGAGAAAGATTGACAAATTGTTTGTTATAAGAAAAAATATATATATACTTAAAAGCTATGATGTAATCAAAATTATATTTCATGTGTTTTGGCTTTAGCTACATCTTTCTCAGGATGAAGTTGATAAAGTTTATGTGTCACCAAAGTATGGAATATTAAGCCCCTTCTATACATCCTAGGGTTAAATCAGACGCCAAGCTGCATCTGATATAGGGGTTATATTCCAGCAGTTACTTACCAGAACAGTATGTTAGGGTACAAAGTTAACCTCATGGTGCATGATATCTGAAGATATCTGAAAGAAGTAAACAAAACGAAATACTAGTTGTATTTTAACATGTGTTAACCATTGATACTGGTACTGTCTTAATTTCAACATCTGTTAACCATTGGCACTGGTACTGTATTAATCTCAACATGTGTTAGCCATTGATTCTGGTACTGTATTAATCTCAACATGTGTTAACCCTTGATACTGGCTGGTACTGTTTTTAATCTCAACATGTGTTAACAATTGATACTGGTACTGAGTTCATTGTAATGTTTAGACTTTTTTCATGTTGTTGGATTTACTTTGTTACGACAGCGAAAGTCACGTGACGCTGGTAAATCGTGATGAAATTCTCGAAGGATCATGAATTTTCCTGGAAACTCAAGTCTGTTCCAGGCGCCCTATTTTTTTTAGTATATAAGCCCGACAAATAAAGCGAGAATAAAATTACATAGATAGATAGATATAGAAAGAGAGATAATTGAGTCAAGCAAACAGTAGGTACCGTAAGTAAAGTGTGTGAATCACTGTGATTTATAGCGTGTTTTATAGAGGTTGTTAATTATAGAGGAAGTTCCTCGCAAAGAATTTATACCGGAAATTAACAAACAAGCAGATACGCAACAACTTGATACACCTGCTGTGTCTAATTCTACTGGCCATAAGGGCATACTTTGATAAATGTTATTCACACTTAATACAATGATGAATAGGCCTTTATTCAATAATTTAAAAAAATGAAATGCTTGGTTGTAAAGGGGTTTCTTTTTCTATGCATCCAGAGTTAAATTTCTTAAATTGTGTTTTAATTATTCTCAATTGAGTAGTTCTTTAAGTATATTAAAAATGAGAACACATACTCAGTATCCTAACTATTTAAAGTTAGTAAAATATCAATAACTGGACTCACTCTTTACTTCAACCTTCGGTTCACTGGTTTGCACTGCTGTACTCATGAGTATACTGCAAGTAACATAAAATGGCAAATTTTATAAAAATATGTATCATGTTCATGATAAAAAATAACATGGACACTCCAAGATGACCTTACTTCCGGCTACTAACTTTCTTAGTAGGCAATACAACTCTTGCTATATTTCATTCAAACAATAAAACTAGTGGGCGAATATTTTCGAAAATTCATAAATACTTTGACAAATGTAGGTAGTTTAAGAAACATAAAGCCTATTACTTTTAACAAATTTAGTTTGTTTACATTATGATCTTTAATATCTTGGAAAATTACATTAGGAAATCGTATTTATAAGAAATGATTACAATATCTATATTAGCTACAGATTTGAACTTATTACTTTTAATGTTTTAGTACATTATTTTGAAATCCCCAAAAAAATGTATCCTCCATAAAATGTTTGTTTGTTTTTTTGTTTTTTG